TAACCACTCTCATTTTTTAATTTTCAAAAAATGTAACTTTTCTACCTAAAACAAATAAAAAGAGTTTACAAGAACCCGGCATTTCAATTGGAGATAAGTTAACTGTCTGCTGAAAGTGTGGTAAAAATTTCGAAGTGTCTTCAACACTCAGTCCCAACCCCCACGCCCACCCCCTCCTTTTTTTCTTTTTATTCTCAGTACATAAGGAGACTAATACAAATATTGGGGTCTGGAGCAGCAAAGTAATAACTTTAGACTTTAATATAGACCTAGATTGGAATCTTAGTTCCAATTAATGTTTCTTTATGCCTCAGATTCTTCGGTAAAAGCAGGGAAAATCACATCTACACGATGGGCACAAGGGACTTGCTTGGTTCACCTGGCAATACCCAGGCTATTTACAGGAGTTAGTTTTTCCATATAATCTCTTACATGGGCACAGATACTACAGCGAAACCTACAGAAGAAAAGATGGAACAATCAATTCATTGTTGACTCTACTTCTTTGAGTCCATATTGGTCTTGTTGGTATAGGTTCTTTTCCTTCCTAAGGCATGCTGTTTTCTGCTCTCGTGCAATTCCAAATTTCTAGCCAGAAGGAAAGGAATATGAAAGAAGGGAGGGAAAAGAGGAGACGGAGAGAAGGAGAGAAGGAGGAGGGAGGGAGGGAAGAAAGGAATATTGCTTTATTTCATGGTACTTGCCACTACAATTTGAGAAACGGGAAATTAACAAAATGAATAAAATATAACCCCTGCTGGTCCAAGCATCTGCAGCTTATTACAAGGCCCCGCCACAGCGGTCGTTATTCTTTCCCTCCCTGAGTTCTCCCAATCGAGCTTTGGTCACCTCTCTCCTCCGTGCAGTCTGCGTCTCATACTCTTCCCGAGAATTTCGGGAGAAATGTAATCGTCACCCCGCGAAGGGTGTAGCAGTATGTGTGCAAAGTTGATCTTGGAAAACCAATAAGACATAAAATAAAAATAAAAATAAAAAATAAATCCCAAACAGGTTTTTTATTTAACGTAAGGCCAAAGAAGCTATCAGGCGCTGCTGAATACTGTCCACTAACTGTACAAAATATTGACTGCATGCCTCGCAAACACCAAAATATCCGCTGGAATGCCATAGAAATAAATAACTTCCGCTATAAACACATGAAAACATATCAAACTGTTATCTCTTTAAACATATTGTAAATAAAAAAATTACCAGTACTTCTACACAATAAATATTAAGAAACCATTGACATAGTTGAAATGCACTCATATAAATTAACAACTTTAATTACATTAGCCAAACAGACATCGGTTAAAGAACTGCATGTAGTATGCCAAAAAAAAAATAATAAAATAAAATAAAAAATAAAAAATAAAAACAAACAAACAAACAACATCAACCACAGAACATAAAAAGTTTAAAACAAAACAGGCTTCAGATTATCTTGGCTTTCATAATTATATTTTTCTTTTAAAGAAAAATATCAACCCATTGTCAATGCACTGTTTTTCAAAGCATTTAAATAGAGGGTAAAACCCATTGGAAATTAATACAGAAGAAATGATTCACTTTATGCATAAAAAATAAATAATAGAGCTGAGACATGTGGTTTGCTTCTGCTCTTGAAGATGTGAACAGCTTCTGAGCATTCATCCGCTCTGACCCATACAACAGCTTTCAGTGATAAAGGGTTTAATTTAAACACACACAATGTCCACCCCCAAGCCTCCTGCCCACATCTACAAGTTTCGTTTATTGTGTAGGTTTTCAGGGTGACTAAGTTTTTCTCTACATTGAAAAGGGAAGTTGCCAAAAGGTCCCCGGGAAATCATTTTTTCAAGTGAACATAATAATTTGAATCTAAGCTTAATACAACCAAGGCATTCGCGTTCTCTATTTTTTAGACTCACTTTTTGAGGTCCAATCCCACGGGGGTAAAAAAAAAAAAAAATTCACTTGCTCTTCCTTAGAGGAGAATGCAGGCATTCTCCTGGAAAACAAAGTGTGGAATCAATCTTAAATTTCTATGAAATTGATTGGTCTTCTGGGGCAAGAAAACCCCAACTCAGTGTGATGGAATTTGCCATGCTGTTTTTGAAAAAACTAAAAAGTGAAAGGAAAACAGGAAAGAGAAAGAAAGAAAGAAGGAAAGNTGTTTTTGAAAAAACTAAAAAGTGAAAGGAAAACAGGAAAGAGAAAGAAAGAAAGAAGGAAAGAAAGGAAGGAAGGAAGGAAGGAAGGAAGGAAGGAAGGAAGGAAGGAAGGAAGGAAGGAAGGAAGGAAGGAAGAAAAGAAGGAGAAAGAAGAAAAAAGGAAGGAAGGAAGGAAGGGAGGAAGGAAGGGAGGAAGGGAGGAAGGAAAGGAAAGGAAGGAGAAATAAGAGTCCAAACTACAAAATATGTATCATTCTTAAAAGATACTTGGGGATGAAAAGCTTTTCAAAGCTTTTAAGACTGGTATGAGTAGATTTTTTTAAGAGCTTAGAGATTAGCCCTAGAGAAAGAGTAGAGAGATGCTAAGATCAGATAGAGTCACCCTGTTTTAAGGAAAACATACTATAAATAACCCAATATGGTAGAATTTAAAAGTTTTTTCTTTTTGGCCTCATGTTGCTACATGAAAAGTGGGGTTGTTCACAACAGCCTGTATATCTTCCAAGATTACTGAAGACAGCAATAACTTATAATTCTATTTCAAGGCCATATAAATTTAATGAAATAAGGTTAAAGTTTACAGATATTTGATAACCTGATCGTTTAGTTTCAATTAAATCATCCCATTAAAATATTGGCACATGAAATTTCATTTTGCTCTGCTTCCAATTACTGTGGCCACTAGTCGAACTCCATCTTACCCCAAGACATCAAGCACTCTTTCAAAGGGCCTATAAAGATGGCGCACACACTTGAGATGAATGGGAGCCACAAACAGGTATCGGCTGTCTTTTGAGCATCTTGCGTTTCCCATCGCCCTCTCCTTGAACCTTGCCTCACCATGCCCACCTTCCTCACCTGCACAGTTTCCTGGTCAGTGGTTAAGAGTGAGGAAGCAAGTACCAAACTTGCATGCTCTCCCTCTTACACTTAGAGTCCACTCCCAAGTAGTACATGTTATATATCTGCATAAGAAAGGATGGACCTCAAGATGTAAGTATATTTGCCCAGTAATACCATTAAAATCATTTGCTTACATACAGTCTAGTGTTATATAAGGTACTGATTTAGTATATATCTCAAGAAGAGCTAAGCCACCTTTTGTCATGTTTGGTTTCATACTATTTTATATTCCTACCATTAATTTTTTTTAAATCTATGAACAGACATAGGGCTGGAGGGTCCAGTTTTTTACAAAATACTAATGAATGCAATTTTTCCAAATTATTAGTGTTTTTCCAACTTTTGCAAACTTCAAACAAGTCAGTAAAAATAAGTCTCTGTATTTTTAAAAGCATATAAATGAATAACTTATGAGCTATCATAGGCAAGCTAAATACTGTGGAATAAATTAGTAGAAATTTAGCTTTAAGCATGTACTTTTATATCTATAAAACAAAGTGTTTTTTTTTCTTTTTTGCATCTGAGTCAATACATACAAACTTATGTATCAAGAGTTTTGGCTGTAAATTAAATAAAATATTAGGGAGTTTTACCATTGCTACCGCCCTGGCAGTTTTCTTTCTTGCTCTCAAGCTCTTAAGACCTTCCCCCAAGTTATTTAGCTTTTAACTAGTGACAACAACATTATTTAGCCCAGCAAGTAAAATTTCTCACAAGCAGGCCTTAATCACCGAAAAAAAAAAAAAAAAAAAAAAAAAATACCCAAAGGCTAAAGATTTTTTCTTTCTGAAAAAAGCTTTCTGATTTAAGATTGATTCCAATAGATAATAAACATAAGTTACCAACAAAAAAATTTTTTTTTCAGATCAGCCTAGAACCTTGCAGAACATGAGTTTCCTGTTTTCCCTGGTGGGACGGAGGTGGGGGACAAGAAAAGAGGAGGGAACGGAGTCCCTGCACATTGAAAGAGGGTCTCTGCTGAATATTCACTGGCGTTTCCAGGCTTCTTCCCATCCAAATTTTTGAAATGTGCCCACTTAGTTCAGAGTAAAAGCAAAAACTATAGCCTATCCTTCTTAAAAATACTGTGTTTTGCACACAAACATTCATTGCTTTAAGAACATTAAAAAAATGACAGCCTGAAGTCCTTAAAATGTGTATGTGGGCATGACGCAATACATGTATATATACACACAGGTACGCATCTGCACAAGCAATGTATATATACACATACAAGCATGTCGTGTTCCATGAATCCGGTTGAACTTGATATCCGACAGTGTACAACTACTGTACATCCAGTATGAAATGTCCTGTTTCATGGATGTCAAAGGAGTCAAAACCCAGACTTCTCAGGTCTTGGAAGCCTGAACACAATCCACCCTACTCCACCTTAAATCCCAACCCCTGACTCACTGATGGTGAATGATACCAACCACAGACAGACTGTTTAAAGGCTCACACAAATGTCTTTGGTGTATGTGTCTATTTTTTTAAGGTACAAAATAATAATAATAATTATAATTATAATAATAAAAATAGCTATTTTGTGTGCTGTAGCAGTTCTTTTATAGCTCACATTAAGTGCAGCTCTTAACCCCCCCACCCCCACCCACAGAAAATACTTGTTAAATAAGGGATTAGACAGGTCAAACACCATTGTAGTGCAAATAGTAAACGATAAAAAAAAAACAACATTTACAAAATATAGAAATGTTTGGATCCAACAGATGGACAAACATATTCCTTTCAAGTATCTCTCCTTGAAGAAAATAAAAATTAATCAGGTTACTTCCAATACAAAAAAGTCTCTCTTTTTGTTCTCTCTCAGGTAAACAGTTTCAAACCTATTAGGTTGCATAGTTCTAAGATCATAAGCACCTTAACGAAATGTGACTTGGTATTCTTTGTTCCTTGATTTTTCTCTCTTCCATTCTTGTTCTCAATTTGTGTTTTTTTTTTTTTTTTTTTTTAGGTTGGATTTTGTTTTGTTTTGTTTTGCTTTGTTGCAAAACTGCTGCAGGAAAGGAAGTGTGCCACCTGCACACTACAGTTCTCTTATCAGTACATGTGTGTGCATGGGTCATGTAGAAATGCGTCTGTGTGTGTGTGTGTGTGTGTGTCTGCGGTGTGCGGGTCTGTGTGCATGTGTGCACGGGCTGATATACACAGAGAGAGGGTCACACAGACATACCTTACAACCTGGGTAACTGGATGGGAAAGTGCCTGTCACTGGCTCTTTCAAACTCATGGCTTTCTAGATGCTATTTGGGTTGTGCTAGCCCGCATTTCTGCGGACCAGACAAGTCGACTTCGAGGCTCGCACTGAAGGGGGACCGAAAAGGAGGGGATGATACTCCCGTGTAAGCAACGGATGTCATCACTTTGATAGATATCGGAAGAAATGAAGGGCACGCCTCTCTCCCTTACCCTCCCAATTTCCATCTCGTTCACCGCTTCATCTCTGAGCCCTGGCTAAGGAATTTTTCCACATCTTCCTTCATCTGTTTCAGGTTTTGTTTTTAGTTTATTTTTTTTTTTTTAATTTCTATATATTTTTTTCTGCTTGTTTAACTCCGAAACCTTAAACATTTCTTCGTGTTGCCACTGTCTTCTCTGGACAACTCTGGCTCCCGTCCCCCCTGGGCTGGGTGCTCTATGAGCACCCACACTCCTCCACTATCATGTTCTGAATGTCCTTTTTGATGATGTTCTGCCCATCATCATAGTACAGCATGGACATGGGTCTCAGCTTGGTGGGCACACAGCACGACTTGAGGTTGGCGAAGGGGCTGTGGCCCCGCATGCGGTAGTGGTTGATGACGGTCGAGTGGAAGGAGAGCGAGGACCCAGACGTGCCTGCTATGTGGCTCGGGCACTCACCCTCGCAGTAGTTGGCGTGATAGCCGGAGGGAGCGATGATCCAGTCATTCCAGCCAATGTCCTTGAAACTAACAAAGAACTGTTTCTTACAGCAGATGTTGACCTTGCCGTCACACTCCAGGCCCCGCCTCCGCCGCCGATGAGGGTGGTCTTCAGACTGGCGGGCCTGCAGCATGAGGAAAGGTCTGTGGGACTGCTCCTTGTCGTCGTCTGCCCCCGCGTCTCCTCCGTCCTTCCTCTTCCCTTCCCCCTCCTCCTCCTTCTTCTTCTTCTTGCCCAGGAGCACGAGGCTGGCGCCTGTCTCGTGGCATTGCTCACAGGCGATCCGAACGTCCAGCGAGCTCCTGCCCTGGTCCAGCAACCGCTGAATGCTGCTGGAGACCGGGAAGATGTGCCAGGTGCTCTTCCGCGCGTCCACCACCTTCTCCGATATCAACACCTCGTTCCTCTCCTCCGTGAAGCCCGCTTCCTCCGCCTCCTCCCCTGCGTCCACGCCGCCCTGGGGTTGCTTCTGCAAGAGCTGGATGGTGACTTTGGTCCTGGTTCTGTTGGCCTTGGGGACTTTGAGGAAGAGCCAGACTTCTGCACGCTCCACCACCGACAGGTCACTGCCTTCTTTGGAAATCTCAAAGTGCAGCGTTTTCCTGGCTGTGCCTGCAGACGAAACACAGCACAAGAGAGAGCAGGGACATGCTGTTAGTTGTGCTGTTGCTCACCAGTCACAATTTCAGGCAAGCACGGGGTCTCTGCGACAGGCCATCTCCAACGGGGGTCAGAGAAGTATGGCCCGGCCGGCTGTAAGAACGCTTTTGACATTTTTAAATGGTTGAAGGAAAACAGTGTGTTGGTGACATGTGAAAATTATATGAAATTGGCACTTCAGCGCCTGTAATAAAGTTCAGCAGGACCACAGCGACACTCATTTCCTTATAGGCTGTCTCGGGCTGCTTTTGCGCTAGATCACCAGCCACAACACAGGCTGGCCCACAGAACTTAAAATCTCTGCCCTCTGGCCCTTTCCAGAGAAAGTTTGTCAACTCCTGCTCCAGAAAGAAGAGAGCCTAAGATCTCAATCAGCGTCCGCAAGCCTGGAAGTCTGTACCTGTTCACTAGCTGTTAAATCTCAGTTTCACCTTCTATAAAATGGGAATGGCATAATGACATTCGACCCATCATGCCTCAGGTTTGGAAGGATCAAATGGGATCACGTAGATGAAGCACACTGTGAGCTCTAGCAAGCTGTGGAAGTGGTGCTGCTCCCACACAAATAAGCAAACACCCCCCCCCCCCACATACACACACACACACACACACACACACAAGTGCCCACCGAGCTAGGCTCCTCCCCCCTCACCACAACCTGCCCTACGCTTCCGTCATTTTTTGCTGGGTCACCGCAACAGCCTTTCCTTGCCTCTGGCTCTCCAGTAGGGAGCCAGGCCCCTTTCCAATCATCTCACCATCCAGCAGGTATAAAACAGGACCCGCCCAGGCCTCTGGGCTGTGCCTCAACCTCAGCTCCCTCCAGCGCCCCGACCTCTAAGGGGCAGCCACACAGTGTCTGAGGTCAGAAGCATCCCATGCGCTCTCTCACCTCCAGGCGGTGAGATTCTAGACCCTCGCTCGTCTAGAATTCTCCAGCTCCCAACACATCATCCTCAGTGGCTTATCCCTTGATAAGGTTCCGGTTTTCAGTTGAGACCACACCGCTTCCCTGACCCTCCTGCCAGTCTGGTTCAGGACGCCCCGGGTCTGAGATCCTATCCGTCTTGTTCACTGTCACGGTCCAGCATTTACCAGGAAGTAGGCAATCACTTGATTCCTTATTAACAAATGGAGGCATCTTTAGCGTTGAGTCATCTTAGATTAGGAGACCTACCCCCTACTGCCGTGTGCCCCATTTCTGCCTCCTTCTCCTCTGAATGCAGCTTAATGAGCCCCAATTACAGCAACTGCTACTAACAGAGAGGCCATCCCCACAGTGGCAAGGTAACTGGATTTAGAGAGCATTCAGTTCTTACCTAGTTTACACTATTCCCTTCGCTTTCCATAAGCACCTGTCTGTCTGTACAATGTAACTACATTTACTGTAAGGAGCAGGTGTCCAGACTGGAATTCTCTGGTTGATGAAACACCTTCCTTCACTCCCACTTTTAGCACTTGGTGGTATATGAAGCATACCCTCTTTCCATGGCCGCCTCCCGCATGTACCTGCTTATGACAGTCCCACGGACACGCATCTCGTACACAAACCTGAGAACAGTGTTAGGAGAAGTTCATCTTAGAATTCGCAAGTCCCCAGGAGGGTCTCCCTGCCTGGATTTCTATAGCTAACGGAAATCCAGCCGTACTTATCACTCTCAGCCCTGAGATGTTTACGGTACTATAAATTTTCGGCACTGGTTCAATTTCTCTGCAGCAGAAGGCAGGCTTTTCTGTGCATTGCGCACTGTAGATTCTGTTCTTAATTTAACACACTCTGCACACTGCGATTCTGATAGTGGTAAATTCACTGAGGACAGGGCCAGGAAAGGCTACATATGTATACAAAAGATTCTCTGGCATCTTGGTATAAATTTGCTAGGACCCTGGCCACAATGGTGGGGGGGGGTGATGCGGTGGGGGGGGGGTCCCCTTGCCTCCAGCCTTGGGTCTCTGGCAGGAGTTGAAATGAATAATAAAGCTAGGTTTACGATTAGATCACCAGAGCGGAGAGCAGTTGGAAGAAGGGGGGACTGTCTTTTTTTAGGGGGCATATTTCTTTTCAAAACGTGAACGCAGTACGCCCCTTTGCTACAAACTGGCGGGTTTTTCTGTTGCTGTTTGTTTAGTTTCAAGAAAGCGAAAGAGAAGACTCTAGGAAGGAGAGCTAAATGATTTAAATTTAAAAAGACAATCGGCAGCAGATTCCAAGTGGTAGGGTCCTTCCGGAAGCCACCCAAGCCTCTGAGAGGCGGCCTGAAGGAGGGTGCAGGCTCCCTCCAGCGTGGGCACCTCCACCCCGCCCCACAGAGAACAGTGACAAGCTACCTGCTGTTCTCCCGGCTGCCTCTACGCAGGCCAGCTCCTGAAACCTTAAACTGCGCAGGGCGCCACCCTAAAGACCGAGAGATAGTAGCTGCTAAATTAGAGAAGCCAGAGGGCACAAGGTTGTGTTTTGTTTTTCTAGGAAAGAGTGTGAAACTGGAGAATCTGACTCATCCTCGGGATGGGAAAGCTCTCTGGGTTTCAGGTAACTTATTCCCACAGCCTCCACCGGGCTTTCACCTGTGCTCGACAGGAGGGGCCGGGGTGAAGGTTGCCGGTCCTCGGGTAACCAGGGGGTCCGGACGGCAGTGCGGACCAGCACACATCGGACTTCCCATGAACAGAGGCCAGGGGAGTCCCGGGATGCTGGGGATGGGGGGTGGGCTCACTGGCCCACGTGACTGGAGCCACGACAGCACACGCAAATTGCCTTTGTAGGTCACTGGCTTCCAGTAACAGCCAAGAGGAGAGCCCCTCAGTTCACAGGAGCAGGTTTCTAAGGCAGGATATAGCCCCTCCCCTTCTTCACAGGCAGCTGTACTTGGAAGCAAATGATTTAGTGTTCCTGAGAGAGGATCATACAAAGAGAGTACTCATTAGAGGGGGCTCAATCTGTCAGGTGCTGTTATATTAGGATCAGAGAGGCATCATAAAATGACTTTCAACCTGGTCCTGGCTGATAATTAACTGCATGGCATCGCCTGCATACTGTGGAGAGGCACAGCACTGATCTCTGCGTTGGTTTAATTATCTGAGCTGAAAGGCTGTTCCCTGTATTTGCCTCCATTGCCTGCGTGCTGCATCTCTCCCCCATATTTCTGACATTTGGATTTTCCCCCTACTAATTGACATGCCTGTCGCCTCCTTCTCCCGGTGTCCATTTCTGGAACTGCTATTTGTATATTGCATGATATTTTATCAGGGCGAAAAAATAAAACAGATCCAATTGCATGAAAATGCTGTTGCCATAATGCTCAGGAGAACAGGGGGAACAGAGAGATGCAAGTCTTCCTAATGTCTACCTTACATGCAGGTACATTTTAAAAGTTCTATTGTATTTGACTTATTAAGGAGTGCAATATTTTTTTTTCTTTTACATTTAGCGTTCATTGCAGAAGGGGGTGGAGAGAATGAGACAGCTAGAAGCTGAGATGATTAATATTTATCAAGGCTGTAGCTTTCAGAAAGATATTACAACCCTCAAATTTCTTAGGTATGAAAAATATAACTAGTGACTTGATTATATTCCCTTTATCTGTACTTTACCTAAGAGAGATTGTTATTCTGCAGTGATGCTTTTAGGATGCTCCAATCTTCAAATCTCTACGCATAACAATTTGAAAACAACGGAAGCAGGCTGCCTGAGGCTGAGGTGTTTAGGATCAATTACTAATCACTTTTAGGTTTGACTTAAATAGCTCCCGCATCAAATCCTGAAATGGAAGCCTTCCCACAATGCTTTGGGAGCAGGTACAGCATTAGCTTATACAGGTGTGCGCTGGGTTCCTGCATTATCACCTATCTAACTAGATATAGCTGGTGGCTTTGCTAACCTTTCATTACCTACTCTCTGATAATATTCTTTTCATCCCCCGTGCTATTTTTTCCCTCCCGAGGCTCGTGAGCAAGGCTTGTATCACAGCCTGCTCTGCCTGAGTAATTCACTAAGAAAGTCCCACGCAAACCCATGTGGGTGATAATATTTCATCACTTAAACCTCTATGAGCCCGGGGGACACATAGCAAAGGGAGAGAGAAAGGTGCATAAAAATGAGTAGGAGGCTGAAAAATCACACCTTACAGGGAAGACCTTTGAAATGTTGCCGGGGAACGAGGGATTGGACCCAGGAAAGACCGGAAGCTAGAAGTCAGGGCACCTGAAAGCACCTTTTCCTTCGCTTTCAGGATTTTTCAAATGTGGTTTAATAACTCAACCACGAAAGCAGGCCTGCCAGGGGTTAAGCAGCCAAACCTCTCGTTATTCCCTTCCCCCACACCAGGACTCAAAATTCTGCTCCCCCTCAAGCCCCGCACCTCAGATCCGTAGGCAGATGAACATTTCTCATGAAATAAGCAATACAGGCAACACACACACACACACACACACACACACACACAGCATTTCATTTGTGGTCTGCTTTGTTTTCCTCACCAGGGTCCTGCCCAAAGTCTGCTCCCTTGTACCTATGGGTAATAATTATGTCTCAAGTGTGAATGTGGAAAATCTTTATAGATTTAAACTAGCCATGGGGGGGGGGGGGGGGGCGGGGGCGTGGAAGCCTCCTTGTAAAATGCGACTGTTACTTTAATTTTCCATTCTTCACCCAGGTTTCACTGTGCCTAGATATGGTATAGTCACTGGTACGAGCAGACGGAGCTACCGCTTACAGCATGTGTGTTCTCTGAAGCACTAACTTTGCATTTGGGCTGTTTCCAGGGGTTTCTGCAGACGGTGACAAGTAGGGTCTTAAGGGTTATGCCTCCTTGAACCTGCCACAGAGGGTCTTACCTGTAGCAGAACTACAGGTTGGTCATAAATTATCTGGATTGATTTTTTTTTTTAGCCTTAATATTTTCTTCTTAGGATGTGCTACTGAATTGTGAATGCTCGGCCACATTTGTGTGTCTCCCATTCAAATAGTGATGAAACAGAGAGAGTAAGGGGCCTCAGGCTCCTAAAAGAAGTAGAAAAAAAATTCTTAAGATTCAACCCACAGACATTTCAGCGATGTCTTCCAAAGTTCCTGCGAACTTTTACACTTTGGGTTTGGGATCTAGGAACCAGTCGAGTATGAGGAATTCTGATCTACAGCTCATGCTCGAGTACAGTTTAGCAGACGAGGGGCCAAGGCAAATAATATGTTTTCACAAAAAGTGCCTGGGAAGGTATTACTCCCAGTTCTCCAAATAGGAAAGCCAACTTTCTGCCCTCTGACCGCTCCCCGCCCCAACTCCGATCCACCTACGTCACAGGCCCCAAACCACTAGGCATCTTGCTTCTGGTCTTTCCCCCACCATCTCGCTGCACACTCTCACTTCAGAAACAAACGCATCCCCCAGAGCTGCGCCTAGTTTTTCACGAGGCATTCAGCAAACAGCCCTTTGCTCCCTGTTGGAAGTCACTTGTCATTTGTCGCTGGTGAAAAGCGTCGATAAGACAGGCAAACTAGGCAATGAAATGAGGGGAGCCGGGAGGCGTTTTTGTAAAAGCCCAGGCAGCCAGCCGTCTTCGGGAGAGATGTGTGAGCAGATCAGTATTGCTGATGATTCATGGTCACATTTCTCCACGCTGTGCTTCTGAAACGTATCATTCCTCTGTCTTCCATAGAGCTCGGGAATGTTCACATGTATCACTAGAATTCTCATTTCTTTTCTTCTCATTTACTGTATCACACACAGGTAGTCATGTTTCTCCCATCCCATAAAATCCTAACCGTTTTCTGGAGGACGAGAGGAAGCAGGGGGCAATTCACAATCACCAAGGTTTGGGCGCTGCAGAATGGGGCTTCCAGGAGGTGAAATTTCCTTTCCCTAGATTAAATGGGAAGGAGCAAAAGTCTTTGGAATGCGCCCTCTTGTGGCGAATCATTGCCCATTATTGGGAGAAGAAAGCGTGTAACCCCTAAAGGCACCCTTCGGTGACTGGTAATTCACAGGGAAGTTCATTAGATTGGCACGAACCTGTGAGAGTCAACTCCACCTGGAGATGGCTTTCTTGGGCTGGGGGAAAAGAGTCATCCAAGCAAGCCTTCTTAGACCCCTATTTGGGAAGTGTCTATTTCGAATTCAAATCTTCTGTAACCGGCATCCTCCAAGAAGGGAGATTTAAGGGTTACTTTCAACAACACCTGGGCTTAGTGAGCATTTTCCACTTCTTGGTGTCTCACTTGTCTTTCTTTCTCTGTCTGTTCTCCAACAAGTGCTATCAACTGTTAAGTTTGATTACCACAACCAGAATGTAAATCTGGCAGCATATGGAAACTCAGTGATAGGCTGCTATTGTACATTGACTGACCAGATATAGTCGTGGATCACAAGAAGATCAAATAAGTTATAGGAGTCAAGAAGGCCACTGATTCCAGCCTCATTGACAATTATAGAGAGAGCTGACTTGACTCTACTCATCCCTTCTTTTTTTCCTTTACGGACTTAAGGTAAACACAGAGGAGTCTATGCCAGCCATCCAGAGAATGTAGTGATCCTGGTGAGCTATCTTTGGGAACATGCATTAAAATTTTTTTTTTACTTCTTGGGATAAATGTCAGAGAGCCTGAGAGCAGTTCCTCACCACTTAGTTAATAACAACTCGGATCAGCTTTGCAAAGATGGGGGCTCTTTCCACCTGAGCCCAATGGGACAAACTCCCTTCCAAGAGTTCTAGATGCTTGAGCTTTTGGTAGTCGCTCCGCTGCTGGGCCACATCACAGCCTCATTCAACCATCAAAGAGGGCCGAGGGCAAAAATTAAACAGGAATCCCCCCCCCCCCAGTCGGGGAATCTTAAGGTTGAAAGATACATCTGTGGGTATGCGTGTGTCATGGGCATAGGTGACACTTATTGGCCAGGATTCTCTGCTACCCAAGAGTTTATAAAGAAAAGAAAAATGAATACCCTTTGCTATTCTCCAAATTCTTACGGTTTGACATAGCTTGAATATTACTAAGGTTGAACTATTCCAAAAGCAACGAGACATTTTTGTATATTCAGATGATGAAGCTCTTTCCTGGTGAGCAAAATCAGCAACAAAATACTCATATGGTACTCGACTTGGAGAGTAGACTGTCCACATAGCCATCATTAATTCCGTGAAATCATAGTAAATCAACTTGAAGTTGATGTGTGAAACTCCTCAGATGAGAAAAATAAGTTAAGTGTAATAAACCTTTTCTGTGACTCCAGCGGCTGACCCAAAGTCAAGTTGTAAACTCAACCAGGAGAAGTTTTCCATTACAAACCTTAGGCTGGAGTCAACGTGTGAGTCAAATGAATCACCTTTTTAAAAAGTAACTCAACTTCTTTTCAACTAAGCACGTAACTGAAAAGTAAAAAAAAAAAAAAAAAAGAGCGAGAGAGATTTCATATAAATAAGAAAAAGATCGGCACTGAGATGAAGGCCCTAAGTAAGAAAGAATGTAAAAGGTCAAATTCTTTCACTGTAAAATTTCTCAATGCCAAAAGAGTGATTTGCTAGACAAGTCAGCTAAGTCACATGCTGTTGCCAGCATCAGGTGTATATTAAAAGTGGCCAAAGTCATAGGTATACTTAGTCATCCGATGCGGGTAAAGCCAATTGAGTAAGGCCTGCAATTAAAGCCATCATGTGTGGTAATTGGTATATAAAAACAGAGACAGGGTCCCTTTGTGTCAGCACTGGGAGCAGACCTCTAAGACCACTGGAATCCCTCCCCCCACCCCCCACCCCAACACTGGGCTCCATGCCACTCTCTTTCTCCTACCTTGCCATCAGGAAAGGTTGAGGAAAACCTGAGTGAGTCCCTTGAAAACTCCAACCTGACTTTTCTTTCCCTCAATAAGCCTCAACAGATAAAGTCATAATTATCATGCCCTTCGGGGGCTGCGTTGAGAAAGAGCTTGGAGAAAGAAAGACCTTCCTTTAAAAGAAGCTTCTGGTCAGAGAGACAGAGAGACAGAGACTGTCCTGCGGAGAAGCTTGCAGGACATCAGGGCTTCTCCTTTGAGGGGAGCCAGGAAGCCAGCAGGCTATCTATCTGCTCCCCGAAAAGGATGCCCCGGTCTGGCATGGTTTTCTTGAAAACAGAACATCTGAGTCAACAGGTTTTCAGGATTGGAAATTCTGAGTGTTGCCTTAATTGTTTATACTGCTGCGGCAAACTTTTAAACAGTAATGCTAGGAGTCCCTGCACATACTTTACTGGCCATATGCTCTACCAAACAAAACAATGGCATTCCTTTCAAATGGATCTGGCAAGGGAAACAATTCTTTAGCCTGGCATTACCATGAAAGTAACACGGCATGAACACATCTGTGTGCCTGGGCGTGCAGGGGCTTGCAGGCAGGCGGAGGGTCTGTGTCACATAACTGTAAAAATAACCCAATAACTTGGCCCCGGCTCTGTGGCCGCCCTTCTGACAGGTATTTTCTATTCAGCAACAGGTTCGCGTGGTCCTGAGCCAAGGATTAGAATCTATTAAAGTTCTTCCTCTTAAGGATTGAGTGAGAGTTCAGGGGAGTCTCTGAGAGCACTCTGTCAAGGTTGTGTCCCTTGCCAGAGGGCTCTTAGTAACTTTGCAGAGAACAAAACTCTTTTTTGTTGTTGTTGTTGTTGCTCAGAGAGCGAAAGTCGGTGTCCCGAAAGTGGCTGCGGCTTCAATGTCAACTGTCCCCCCCAAAGTCCTTCTTTACTGCCTAGAATGCGATGCCCGGGCTCTTCCAAAGCAGGGCTTCTAAAGGCAGAACTGTCACTAATAAATACGCCCTGCTTCTCCTTCTCCGGGGTGGCCCCTGACTGGACTTTTAAAGGGAAGGTTCGCCTTAAGACAATGACCTCAGCCACGCGGGTCCACCCCGACCCGCACTCCGCGCTCCCGCCCCCGCCCCCCTAAAAACTTCGGACGGGGTCCGGAAGCCTCCCAGGCTCCCCCCCCCACCCCCAGCACCCGAAAACGCCCGGGCTTTCATCCGGCTGCGGGGGATCCGGTTTCACAAGCAGGGCGAGGGGGCCGCCCGCAGCCCGGCGCCCGGCCCCGCGCCGCCCCGGAGCTCGCCGCGGGCTGCGTGGCCGAGTCCAGCGGGTGTGAGCTCGCCGCGTCCGGCCGGGGCTCGGCGCGGAGTTCCGCGTCCGCGGAGACGCCCCCCCCCCGCCCCCCGCCCCGCGGCCCCGGCGCCCCCGGCCCGGCCCCGCACCCCCGCGCCGGGCAGGGCGCGCGCCCACCTGACTCCGCGAACGTGATGATCTCCGAGGTCTGCTCCATGAGTTCATTCATTTCTGCCCTGCGGCCGATGTCGTCCTCGATCTCCACGTACCCGTTCTCCCCCACTTTGCCCACATGCAGCTTCCTGATGGCGTTCAGGAGCGCCGCCTTGGGCACCGGCTGCGTGACTTCGGGCCTCTTCTTCAAGTGCAGCATGTTCAGGATGTGCCTCTTGACGGCCTCCACCATGTCCGGCTGCGGGCCGGGCGCATCCGCGGGCAGCGCGGCCAGCGCGCAGGACGGGCAGGCGCCCTCGGGCCCCGGGGTGGGGGACGTCCTCACGGCCGCCCAGCAGCTCGCCAGCAGGAGTCCTCGGAGCCACAGCAGGGGCATCCTGGCCGCGCGGTCGGGGTGGGCGCCTCCTCCCAAGGCCCGGCTTCCCTGCCCCGCTCGCGCACAGGTTGGGGTGTTGGGGGGGGGGTTTCCCTCCCTTTCTTCCTGTCTTCCTTTCTCTCTCTTTTCTCTTTTCTTCCTTTCCTCGTTTTTTTCCCCCTCCTTCTCCCGTTCAGCGAATTCTCTGGAACAAGAACAAAGTTTCCTGTGAAGTTTTGTTTGCAGGTTCCCTCTCCGAATGCAGGCAGTGCGGTAGGTTGGTGGCTGTCAGGGAGGAGAGTTCTGACTGTCTCCGAGTAAGAGGGAGGGAGGGAGGGAGGGAGGGAGACAGGGGGGAGGGAGGGAGAGACAGGGTGGGGGAGACAGACAGAGACAGAGAGAGGATGGGAGGGAGAGAGACAGGGAGAGAGGGAGAGAGAGGAGAGAAGGGGGAGAGGGAGGGAGAGGGAGGGAGAGGGAGAGGGGAGAGAGGGAGAGGAGAGAGGGAGAGAGAGGGAGAGAGAGAACGATTGGTCCTAAGTGAGTGCGTGAATGGGCGAGGGAGGGAGTTGCTCTGCGAGTAGAGGCTGTGATTAGGAAGGGGAGGGACAGCCCGTCCCCTGACAGGCTGCGTCCCTGCGCTCCCCGCTCGCTCACACACACCTCTCTCCAGATACCACCGGGCTCCGACTTCTCCTTCCCCCTCTGCCAGGAATCCTCTCAATTTTGTCCTACTTCCCCCTTCTATTTTTTCTTTCTCCGTCCAGTCCCCTTGCTTCACCCTCTTCCTCTTTTGGAGGGGAAAGAAAACCCCACACAAAGGCACTGTCCCAATCTCCTGGGGGCACCGGGTCGCAGCACCGTGTCCCCGGGGCCCTCCGGCTCACCTGGCCCGTGATCACGCCCCGGCCCTCAAGGCGGGGCGGCCGAGGGTCCCGGGAGGCGGGTGGACAGGTACCTGGGGGCCGGGGCGAGGGGCAGGCTGGTCACCGGGGCCAGCCGGCCCAGGCCCCAGGGAGTCCCGGAGGTGGCCGGCCTCCCATTCATTCATATTTAAATGCCCAGGGTCCTCCCCCTCGGGCAGGGGATCTGGGCAGGGGGCGAGGGAGAACTTCTGCCTGGGGTCACCTAATACCCTCTGCTCTTCCCCCCTGCAAACGCAGCAGTGAGGGATCCACAGGCAACAGCAGTCTACCTGCTGGGGTCACCTGAAAGTCCCTCCCTCTCCCCAGCCGCCGCCCCCCTCGGCCCAGCGCACACACTGCAACTGACAGCCCACCTGCAGCCCCGACTTTACAGATAAAAGTGCAAAGTTCATCTGGCCTCTTCCCACATCATTTCCTACAAATAGTGGGCTCCGATGACTCGGATAACTGGTCCTCTGGGAAAAGAATCTCTAAAATATATTGGCGAATTATTTTCTCCTCCACGTGGGAGTTTTTCAGCCATGGCCCTGCCCTGTCCTGGACCAGCGAGCCTAGGGACTGGCCCCTTGACGGCTTCTTTTCCCCCCAGAGGAACAGCACAGATGAAATCATCATGGATTTCAGCGTTCACAGAAAAAGAAAAATGTGAATTTTTAAACAATGCCTCTCTGAGTTTTTTTTATTCTCCCCCCCCCCTTTTTTTCATTTTCTGTCTTATTGCTTTTATCATGAAGAAGTATCTTTAAGAGGTCCATCTGTTAAAGCTTTCCTTCTCTCTCGGTTTCTTTCCCACACATAAGCTCTGAGTTTCTGTATATACAGTCAGCTTATATCTGACACCTAGTATGTTCAGAGCATCATAGTTAAGCAACGCACTTTGGGTGGAAAAAGTTAAGAAATACCATTACTACAAGGCTAGGATGTGAGGGCAAGGGGAGGAGGGTGAATCAATTGTGACATTAAGTTAAAATTACAGTTTGCACAGATAACGGTGCTTTTGAGAATCGGACAGGCTGTCCCCCTTTTCCAAAACAATTACTTGCAAGACTTTCTCTGTTTCACGCCACCTATCACCTTTGGGATTTGTCCGCCAGGAACATCACTTACTCTGCGCTTCTTAAGATTCCTGTTAACATTTCCTAAAGAGTCTAATTTTTTTTTTTTTTTTTTAAGCAGGGAATAGTGAAAGGGAAGGGGAGGGGGGCATTTATTTGCCTTATGATCGGTTAATGAAACGTCGTTGAAATACAAAACGTAACAAACTCTACCTCTTTGGCGTCACATATATAGTACCCAGAGCATTTTGTAGTCCAATTAAGTTTTACAAGAGAGTCTGAAATAAACCTAAAAGTTTAATGGCTCCAAACAACTCAGGAGTCCTAATAGTAGCATTTAGATAAGGGCAAGTTATCAATATTTGGATTCCCTCTGTATGTCGAGTATGTGTGTGTTCCCTGAATTTACTGTTTGTGAATGTAACTCTTAAAAACAGCTTTCCCTGTGGCATATGTACTTGAATATAAGTGCTGCATGGGCTGTATAAACACGCAATCTCTCTGCACGCTCTACTATTAAAAGCTGTATTATTAACCTGCCTGAATAATAGAAAGAGGTACCAAATCACAACGTGCATTGAAAGTGCAGTAAGTCAATTCCTTGTAACCTTCCTGACTGTGAATGTGTCAAGAGCTCCTAAGTAAGAGTTAAAAAAGCATTACCTTTCCGGTCCTCTGTCTTTCACCAGCAGACTCCTGTATCGTGTGGAAAGAGCTGTGTGAGGAGTTCCTCTTCATGCTATTGGCACTCTCAAGTTTTATACTGTGCTACTTATTTGCACACTCACACATTGGTACCACTCAAACAGAGGAGGGCTGGGGCTTTGTTTGGGATTGGTTGGAAATCAGCATGACATCAGCAGATGACTGGTTTTTCCACTGTGAGACATATTTCATAATTCATTATCTGATGGAAAGCCTTTCTTGGCTGCTGGGACAGAATCACAACTTGGTGATCCGTGAGCCAGTCAAACCTCTGACTGACTAGACTACCTTTTAGAAAAACACTGGGACTGAACAGCTATATCTCACTGAGTGTCCAACTTCCAACTTTTACTACTCAAGCACACACTTCTCATTATATTCAGGCTCGGTTTTATGTCTTCACATAAAACATCTGTTACTTCATGAAGTTGCCTCTATTTACAAAGTCTTTTATTGTTTCTTACAGGGAAGAAAATTTGCAGTGCACTTTAGAATGATTCTGATTTTACTTTTGAAAGTAAGAGACTTCATGGAGGGAAAAACAATAGGAAAATACGTGTACCTCTATGATGATGCTCTCTCCTCCCCTGACTTCCACTATTACTTTACCTCTTGACAGCGAATGCCTGCCTCATAAATCATTTATCACCAAGAACTTTGAAAATAGTCATTCTCTGCCAGCGAACTTTACAAATATCCTTCCCAGCCAGCAAAAAAAAAAGAAGAAGAAGAAGAAGGAAGGCTCGCACACCATTCTTCTTTATCAGGACTTCAAGTCCTGCGATTTCTAAACTGTTACAAATAAACGTGAGATTAAGGAAAAGGAAAGAACATTCTTTGGAATAGGGGTTATGTCGGTTAGGGTTTTTGTTGGGCGAGAGGGGCTGTTTGAAGGAGAACTGATGCATAAGCCAGGGTGCTCATGACAAGTGGAATAAAATGTGCAAAATTGGGAGCTAATGAAAGCCATATGACCAGATATGTTGTTTTGTATGCAGGATTTAACATGCATAAAATAAACTTTTCACTGTGCCCACAAGCAAAATATAGAGGCTCTGGCCTCCTGATGTGTGGTTGAAACAGGTTCCTTTAGGGCACCAGAAGCGTGCTATGTAGGAGGGGGTCCCTTGGCTACACACAGAGCCGGTGGGGATGGGGAGCTGTTCACTGGGGATGGGTGGGGGGTATTCTAGGAACTGCATATGCAGAAATGAAATAGGAAACGAAGTCATTGGGCTGTAGCGGCACCGAGGGAATCTGGGGAGGAAAGATACAAACAGGATCTTGCTGGCTCACTCCCCAACTGCCCATCCATTGGAATCGGATGGACTCCACCCCTGCCTAAGAAAGGAACTTCACCATCCTTTTTGATGAGCACTGTTGGAGAGCACTGGCCTGTGGGACCTCTGAAGGGACTCGCAGGCGTGAAACCTGGTGTCCTGGAAATCCCATCCTGTGCATGAGTTGTGGGGGGGGGGGGGGAATACAAAACAACCCCAGATCTGACCCCGGCTCCACTGCCTCGGGGCGGGGTGTCCTAGTGTGTAAAGTGAGAGCCGCCATACTCAACTAGAGGGTCAAGCGCCTGCTCGGAACATACTAGGTGGCATTATTTTTGAGATGCCTGGTGGCTCTTTGTCAACATTCGTGTCACAGACATTTGCAGGGCCCTGACTGGAGGGAGCGACCCTCTCCCTGTGTGTGACTCAGAGCCAGTTGGCCACCGGACGCCTCCGAGGTGCCCACCTACCGGGTCAGCCCACCAGCAGTGATGTCATTCTCCACCTGAATCCCCAGCCTCGGAGCTGAGCCACCCCGAGGAAATGCCTCCTCACCCGGTGGAAATTAAAGTGGGGGCGGTGGAGGAAGCAGGCAGGTTAAAATAACTTGGGTCGGATCTCGTGCCCTGGGAACGAGCTCTTCCCTTCCCAACTCCGGGGCCCAGGGGCAGGCTGGGCAGCCCCGCTCCTGACCAGCGTCCACTCTGGCTGCGCGGGTTTGGTTTCTCTTTCACTTCCGGCCCCCTCCCCCCGCGGCGCCCCACCCCCGGCCTGCGGGCCGCTGCTCGGCCTGCTACTGTACCTTGAGCAACACCTGCTGGCAGCTCCCGGGGATCACGCCGACCGCGGCCGCCGCTCAGCCCGGCTCGCGGGGCCGCAGCCGGGGCCAAGCCGCTCCGAGCGCCCGGAGCACCAGCAAGGGCAACTTCTCTTAAGAGCAGCTCTTGATTTTTCCCCCCTTTTGGCAGCTAAAGAATTCAGAGAGGGGGAGAAAAAAAAAATCACTATTCAGTGAGTGCAGCTGGGAGTCTCTGAGCCCAGCCCTCGGTGCCAGGGTCGCAAGCGCGGCCAAGGTCAAGGCCCGGGACGGCGCGGACGGAGGCGCGCGGGGAGCGCTCCCGCCCCGCGCGCCGGCCCCTCTCCGCGCGTGGCGCCGGGTCCCGCCCGCTTCCGCGCGCGCGGCGTGGCCCGCGGCCGCCGCGCTTGCCACCGAGTGCGGGCGGCCTGATTTCCTGGCGACTTCGCCAAGCTCCCCACTACTCGCTGGAGCGTTTGCGCCGCTCTGTTCTCGCCTCGAGGAGCAGCCCCTGGGGAACCTGGTGGAGCAGCTTGCTGCGAGAAGGAGCCGGGAGGGAAACCGTGGTACCTTCTTTTACTGTAATTGCAAAAGGCGCGATGTGCCAGAGATTTATATTTAGACGTTGTATGTTTCTACTTTTATGTAAATGGAGCAATTAGGGCCTGTCTCTGCTGCTGCTAACTCCAGTGCTTGGGCCTTGCTGGGGAGCTGGTGTTTTCAATCACAATTAGTGAGCTGGTCAAAAAACAAAGTTCACTTAAGGATAAGAGCTCAGTGGTGTGTAGGGAGGAGGCACCAGCGTCCCGTGCCTCCCTGTGGCCCGTGGAGACACACACCTGAGGGCACCGGCTAACTTCTCTCTGTGTTTGCGGTTCACCCGCATCAGCAGCTGCGCCCGGACACAGCTGGCATAGACCAGGAAGCAAGGATGTTCATTTCTCTTCTCGGGCAAACCGTCCGGCCTTCGGCTTTCATCCGTGCTATTCACTGGTCTCTTTGCTCACTGCTCCTGGAACAAGGAGACAGGCCCAGGAAAGGGGGCCGTTTCTCGTGGCTCTGTTACTTTCGCTGCCGCTAGCTCACGCCTTGCTGTATGTAATTCCGTGAAAAATACACGCCAGGAGACGTGAACGCCCCAAGCAGGTGACCGGGAAGTTGTCGTCTGATTCAGCTTGAAATGCCACGAGGCCGGGGTTTCAGAGCACGGACTGTGCTGCTGATGACTTGGGGTGTGTTAGCTCCTTCCTATGAAAAATCTGTTTCCCCAAAAGCATGATTTCTGGTTCATCCCGTCTGGGAAACGGAACATAAAACGTGACTGTGGCGAGATATCAAAAGGATTCGAGGTGTTCTCAGCAGCTGCCGGGGTTATTCTGGGCTCAGGGCAGGAAAGCCTTGCCGGTGGGGAGCGGTAACTCCCTGGAGAGGCAGCTCGGAATCCAGAAAACGTGGGCAGGATCCAGAGCGATATTCGCTGCAGTGAGATTTCAGGAGTCTCGTGAAATGCTTTAGATGGAGTCCAGGGTTGGCAAGCGCCGCCGGTTTCCTGGACAGCCTGAGCCTGCCCATCGCCCCTGCGGTATGGTTAAGTTAGAGAGATTTGCGACAAAGAAGGATCAGCCTTCCACATTCACAACCGAACTGGGAAGCTGCTTTTAAGTGACATCAAGCAATGAATGCAGCTAAACGCAGAGGGAGAGGGAGACATTAAAATGCCTCCAAAACTCATCAGAAAACAACCGGGTCAGAAATAGTTAATCTGAAACCCGGTTCCTAAACCTCACATTTCTCTGAGAACCACCGGAATATCCCACAAAGCCTTGTGCTGTGTATGACTGCTCTGTTTCCAGAGTGTTTGGAAATGCCTCATCTAAACCGAGGGAACCCAGATGCTACAACTAAAATGATTAAGGGAATAAAAGAAGGCGGGAAAAAAAAAAAAAGCCATAAACTGTTATCCACCAGTCTACAGCAGGGTTCTCAACTGGGATGATTTTACCCCCCCAGGAGACATTTGGCAATGTTTGAACACATTTTTTTGCCTGACATAACTGGGAAGGAAAGTGTTACTGGCATCTAGTGGGTAGAGGCCAGGGATGCTGCTTAACAGCCCGCAGGACACAGATCAGCCCCCACGATGGAGAAATTATCCGGCCCCAAACGGTAATTGTTCTGCAGCTGAGGAACCCTGCTCTAGAGTTCAAATTTTAAAGTTTCACCTAATTCCCTGCCCATCCAGGCTCCCAGGGGCCGTGGCGACGATGCAAAACACGAATAATTCCAGTGATTCTGCCTCCTCGTGTGTCTTGTGCTTCCTGATTAATGGAAGCCCACGGCCCACGGAGACACTGACACGGGAAGAGCGCCTCTTGGGCCACACTGTTGTCACCCTCACTAACTTTCCAGCGTGGCCTCCATGCATTTCCTGCTGGCTTTGCAATGGAACCAAAAGCAAACCTCGGTGACCAGCAACAAGATGAGATGAGCTGGCCCACGCCCAAGTTGTTAGGAGGCAAAGAGCCTCACGGAAAAGAGTAAGTGGATGAAGAATGAGTTGTTCGTGTTAGCAATTCAGCATCAGATCAATCCACGCAACAGAGAACTCCCTGAAGGAAAATTCACGAAAGCGACATGACCAAGCCTTCCTCCCCCGGCAAACAAATAGGATGGAGCTTGATTTTATTTGCTTAATACCTTAGGGGAATGACACACAGTCAATAGCCAAAGAGATAAAACAGAATGCTCTCCCAAATCCCGCTGTAGGTTTCAAGCAAGGTTACATTCTCCAAACTTCCTTCTTAAAAGGGAGGGGTATGACTATTCAAGGAAGGCCATGCCCCTTCAGGTACTGCTTTCCTGGCTGGCCTGGGGGGAACTCTGTGCAGGATCCCACAGCTGAGAAAATAATGACAACAACGATGATGATGATGATGATGATGATGATGATGATCAGCAAATGGTGAGACCCACCAGAGGGAATTTGCCTGGATCAAACTAGCTTAGAAGTAAAATGCTGTTCTTCACACCATGAGGCCAACTTGCCTGGATGATCACTCAGTCCTCACACCACTGGGAACATCCATAAAGGAGAGGGTCAGTCAGAGATTGTTTTCAGATGAAGAGACACCCTTCCTTGAGCGGAATATGTTAGGCACCCCGATGCCATTTCATCACCTCCAACGTATGAGTCACGGTCTCCTCAGGTAGATGGTTATTTTGGAACCAGAGGCCTCATTCAATCCACTTCCAAATGATTCAGAAGTGCCTGGATTTCTTCCCAAGAAGTAACCATGTAGTACTTATGAAAAACTCAATATATAGAGAGAAGCCCTCAGTTACAACCTCTATCAAAAACCATAGATTGGAGAAAAAAAAAAAAAAAGCACTGACATTAATACAAACTGAATAAATATGCCCTCAAAGTCCTTCCTGACCAACATATAGTTCCAAATTGCTTATCATGACTCAGTTCTAATCCAATCAGGAAACATCTGCTACAGTGGAAGATCTTTAATGCCCCAGAAGATCATGAAAAATACTCACAAGAGAACATAGAGCAGATGGCTCTCGCCGTTCTTCTCACCTGGGTCCCCTCGGGTAGTAACTTCCATTTTGTTGACTGGAGGACACATACGGTTAGTG